GTACATGTCAGTAAGTACTAATGATACTGTGCAGAAACAATCACAATTTTTATCAGGTTCAATATATTTTGCATTTTGTAAGAAAATTCAAGTATAATATATCAAAAATAAAGATTGATTGTATGTTGTGATACGACCTGTTAGAGATTTTTTACTCATGAAGAGACTCATCATTTATTGAAAAGGTTCATTCAGACCTCGTCATGAACGGCCTTTAAAGAGATAGGGAATCACGCAAACGGTTGCCACAACATCTTCAGATTTCAGGTCTCATCCAAATTTAAAAGACCCACAACTTTCACTTTAAGGTGTCTATTGCTTATCGAAGGACCAGTTGTTGTTTTCTTTTCTCTCGATAAAGCCAGTCGTATACGGGGTTTGAGCTCAAGATAGGTTAAAAAGGGAAGAAATTAAATTATTCCATCTTTTTTTGGTAAGGTCATGAAAGGCAATTATCAGTAGTAGCCGTCCGCTCTACTTAGTTAATGTTGCCAGGGAATTTGAAACGTCAACCATGTATCCATCAAATCAAATTTATATGCAGGCAATTCTTAAAGCTAGAGAATTACCTATGCTCAACTCATTATTTCAGAACAGTGTGACATTAGAACAAGATGACAAAGAGACTTTTCTTTTACAAAGGAATCTATATAGAATTTCTTTTTAAGAATCCATAAGAAAATTCTACGATATATTAAGGACAATAGCAAGTCAATGTTATCCGGAGCAAAAAATGTCTGAAATAACGGGGTGCAATTAGTACCCATGGCAATTCCCATAGATTGTTGGAGGACCTGGTTTTCTAAACCACGTCCATATTATCAAACAGAAACTCAAGGATCTATTTAATTTCAACTTCACAGCACGTGTATATACAATTAGAATGTATTTAACAAAATAATTTTGCAAATGATCAATGACAATGTGAGTATATTTGCGAGTTACATTTCTATCGAAAAAGCAGCTGTCAATGATATAAAAATAAGCTTTGACTTTAATTTATCTTGACGATTAGTTGTATAAAAATTTAATAAGTTGTAAAGTTTCATGTTGTTGACTTTGGTAAAATTGTATGATTTCAAATCCTCCAAAAGTTTTTTGGAGTTTTTAGTATCCACGTTGTATTTAAACCACTTCTCGAATATACTGTTGCACAATACTCATGAAGTTTCTCTCTCACTACATTTAAAATTGAGGAGTAAAGAAGGGGGTTTGGTAGAACATTAACTCGAACTCGCTATGTATCTTTGTCCGAAAGGATTTTATTTTAAGGTTTTGAATTTAATATAGAGATTGTAACTCAAATTGAAATTGTTTCACGGTGAAAAAAAAATGTAATCTATTAACCAAACAAATATGTAGCTTAAAGCTTGTCGATAGAATTAATTAACTCCAAAACCATTGAAACAGGTGCAACGCACAACCCTCGTCACGTCTCCATATAAACTTTCAAGGACAAAGCTTCACTGATATTTTATCCAATTGAAAAATAAAACATCCTTGATTCTAATAAAAATCTTTGTCTTGTTATTTTGGAATGCTTGCTGTTTTACATACATTGTTATTGTGATTGAAATTTTCTAAAATAAATAGATTAAAAGTATGATTCGGAATTATCTTTAAACAAAATATAAATAGAGAATTCAATCATTGTGTCAATTTTCATAACTGTGCTGCAACAATATTAAGTGACGTGGAAAGCTAGAATTTTACAGAAATACTTTTTTACTTCATGACCTTGATTTTTATAAATGAGAGTGAATCAGTATAATGCATTGATTTTACAGCTTCAAATTTTAAAATGGGTGGATTTAAAATTTATTTGACAGATGAAATTACGCCACAGATCTTAAAATGTCCCTGAAATGACTAAAAGACACTTAAAGAAAAATAAAGATAATTGCATAATTTTTACTGAAAGTTCTTGTCTTTGATTATGAATAATTATTTACAACTATAATCATCAACGTAATCAAAAATAAGTTTTGATTACATTTCTTTTAAGATTACTCGTATTCAATGAAAAGGTCGGTAACTGATTACAGTGTACACATGATTACACAGAATACTTTTTACATAACATACGATTATTATTTCTTCATTTTTGATTTCCAATAGCTTTTGTTTCATTGCATTTCAGACATTTAAAAACCATTGAACAGAGTCTGATTTTATTTTCTGGAATTTAATTGCGCACTGCATGTTCCTTTTCATTTAATAATAACATGCATGTTCTTGTTTATACTTTAATTATTTTACGCAATGAGTATATTTTAAGTAAAGATAACCAGTTGTTACCAAGCAGTCTCAATCACGCAAGAAACGTACGCCATTAGAAAAACGAGAAATTTAAGGAAAACGTACGGAAGTCGGTATGTGCCAGGTAGGTATTAAACGGCCGCTACATAAACAAGAATAGATATGGGTTACCCCATATCCAAAGATATTCGACTTTAAGATTTAATATGTTTAACAGTGTTTAATGACGATTATAAAAATAAAACTGCATTGTCTAGTTATAGAACTTGTGTAAATTTCGTGAGCATTACGGTCACCCAGTCTCCTAACCATGCTAACAAACAGTACACATACCTATGTCTGCAAGACCAGTTAGCCTTGGTCTATACACGTGCGATGGAGTTGTCAAACGGACTCCCGTGAACAGAGAAGTTACGATGGCAGACAGAACTTTTTTTCATAATTAGATCACATGAATACAAATTCTGATTCATAAAAATTAAACGATTGTCAGTTTAGAAATCCCCGGCCAGTTCGGGTTTTGTTACACATTTTAATTTATAGGTACTCTCTCAACTACAATGTGTAGTTTGTCTACACATGTGCAGGAATCTGCTCAGGGATTGAAAATTCCGTCATTTAATATACTACACACACAGAATGATTATTTTTTTCTCTTAAACGAAACTATATGATAATTAACGAACAATTAACATGATTTTACTACAGTTGTTGATATAGTATAATCAATTCATCAGTGAAAAAATATCAACCAAAGAATGACCTAGATATTCTCTGTTATCGATCATTAAAAAAAAAAAAAATAAAGCTGAGGAGGGAGCGAGCGTAGGAATATTAACATTTTTTTATTTGCATTTAGGGGGGAAATTGATCTTTGGAGGAAAAATTAATATTAATTTTGGTTTCTTTTACGTATGACATACACAACATTATTCTTATCATGAACAATTATGTTGTATCTACTTATTAATGATGGAACTATTTTTGTCGGAACAATTTGTGTGAGTCGCCGCTGACTACAGAAATATATCTTGAACTAATAGTATGCACTGATCGAATATATTGATAACTGGCGAACGTCAGATAATTATTTGGTTCCCGCCATTTGGCGGGCTCTAATTATCTTCTGGCAGCCGCCAGACAACTAGCACCTACCGGCTGCCGTAAAACGGTGTCATCTTCTGTCTGTCCACCGGACACAACCGTTATATGCCCTGTTCATTTGGAGATAACGATTAGCGTTTTCAAGACCAAAAGTCCGTAAAACAACAGAAAAATTGAGCAGAGAAAGCACGGATTTCCAAAACATTAGAGGTGGGATCAGCCATGGAGGAGTTAGCATCCACTGCCAATCGGTCACACCCGCCATGTGCTCTTTGTCATGATGACATAACGTGAAAATCCGTCGTCAATTCAATGAATAAATAATGGACTAACAATTGGTTAGAAAGAAGTCAATCAGCATTTGACTCAAGAATAAATTTGATATTTGCTGACAAGTCCATTGTATCGACCATAGAACTTACGAAATTATGACTGCTGATATTCTTGTTTCATCAACTTGTTTTACAATAATTTACCGTGTTTAGAAGTTATTCATACGTAGCGCATCTCTTGTGTATCGAATCAAATGAGATACAAAAACTCCGCATGCAGGTGATGATGGTATATTATTGCATAATTAAGGGAAGTTGACAATAGAAAAGTTAAAGTCATTACGTTTATTATAGAGCTTAGTTGTTAGATTACCATTAACGTCTTTTTCAAGTAAAATATTCAATTATGAAACAGGTGTGTCAGACTTTGTGGTATCTTTTATCTTTCTCAAGCTCACCAGGATATATCGTATCGACATAAGAATGGAAATTACAAATTTTAATTGAAATATAATTTCAATATATCGTCGTCAATATATCTTAATTTCGAGTTGAAGGCCACAGCAAGAGATTTTTTTTCACAAGTAAGTTTTTGCACAAATTCTGCTTCATATGAATACAAAAATAGGTCTGCTAATAACGGGGCGCAATTGGTTCCCATTGGAATTCCAATAGATTGTTTGAAGATCTGGTCTCCAAAAACAACATAGATATTGTCAATCAGACACTTTTTCAGGAAAACGTTTTTATGTCGACTTCAGAGTACTTCCAGTGTGTCCATCAGACTGTTTATTAACATAATAATTTTGCAAATGGTAGCTAAATTCACGAGTTCCATTTTTATTTAAAAATCAGCTAGCAGGTAAAATCGTATTTTCAAATTGTCCAAAAATTCTTTGGAATTTTTAAGGATCTATATCTGATTTACACCACTTCTTGAATATATTGTTGCACAATACTCTTGAAGTTTCTCCTTCACTACTCTTTATATGAGTAAAGAGCCTTGGTTGAACTATTATCTATATCTTTGTTTGTAAGGATTTTTATGAAGTTTCGGAATCCAATATATTCAAAACTATTCAAAACTGACAGTCATGTAGAATTTAAAATGAATTAAATTCATTTCTGTTAAATCAAATGAAATGAAACTTTAAATATTAACACAACAAATATTTTTACACATGATATTGAGCTTATCTTAAATTTCTTGAAAGTAGTACTAGTATATCGAAGATTGACATCGTCCATGAACTCTTCGAATAACCCTTCTAAGTAAGGAAAGTTGAAAATATAGACAACATAGCTGTTATTGGCTATAAGCTTCTACAAACAGGAGACAACCCAAACATGAAAGCATGGTAAACGATGTGGCTGGGATATACTGTTTCCAGGTAATATGTGAATGGGAGTAATGTTATCGAACTTATATGTGCGTAATCTTTTATTCGCGATTTATCAGTTTAAAATCAATCCACAAAAACAATTTTTTGCGACTGAGAAAACATTATTCACAATATTTGAAGCAAAATAAATGTTGGGCGACGATTCATTTTCGCAAGTTTAAGTAAATTGCGACAATAGCTGATATATTTCGCACGCGAACACATTGGTTAACAGTCAATATTATTAATTGATAAAGTGTCGTCATTTTATCTGAATGTTGAAGGATATATATTCTATTTCTCGTGTTAAAGTTCTGCTTCAAATGAATATAAAAAGAGTTCTTCAATTAAAAAAGCAAAATTAGTTCCCGTCGATATTCTATCTGCAAGTAGGTATTCATGATCGCCGAAAATTTATAAATGTTGTCACTGAGAATCTCCAGTATCCTATACACATGAACCTTAGTCTACTTTGTATAAAATCAGAGTATTTTTTCAAGGAAGTAATTTTATTGATGACCAATCTCCAGCTTTATATTTTTGAGTTTCAGTTTATCTATGAAGCAGTTGTCTTTCTTAAATATTGAGAAGTTTAGATAAATTAATTTACAGTGGGGAATGGCTGTAAAAAAAAAAGGTAGAAAATTACGTTTTAAACTTATTGCCAAAATAGATGGTGATTTTAACTTTTCATCAAGTTCTTTGCAGTATTTTTAGAATTCACATTTGATTAACACAGCTGTGGAATTAATATGCAAGAACATATGAAGCCTATTTACCGACCGCTCGGTGTTCGCTCTCTTTACCGTTTTCATTGATTTGTGCAAATTAAAGCAATTATTTAAAATCGACCTAAGTATATGTGGCAATCATTATCGTTTAGAATTTTTATTCCATGTCATAAAACTCTTCACTGACAGATGAAGAGCCATGCACACGCCTCTTTCTATGCAAGGGTACTAGTTTATATTGACAACCATTAGGGTTTCTGTTAATCAAGGGGTTTATTTACGGCAGGACCGAAAGGGATGCTTGTCCATGAGTTCTCTTTATCAATTCACGATATTCATTCATATTCCTACGTTCCTACGTTGATTCCATATTTTGCAAATAACTAGAAATAAAAAAAATAACACAGTTTAAATTCATTTCATATGAAATGTTTCTTTTTTACAGCACAACAACGCGTATTAACACAGTTTTCTCGTATAAATGGAAGGGGATGGGGCAAACAATCCTTAAAAATAAATGTTTTAATCAAATTGGGAACAAATTCCAAAGCTCATCTGCAAACCTTGCTTGATGAGAAAGAAAGGACACTGTCTTTGTTTCTATTAAATATCAATGTGCTAAAATTAAAATTACAACTAAACATTCCAATGTAAAGTGAAATAAAACTTCACACATTGTAAATATTATTATTTAAATGTAGTGTTTTATTATAGTTTATAGTTGTTGTTTTTTTTTTAGCAGAACAACCTACATTGAACATTTATCAATCTGTTACAGATTATTTTATCAACGATACCAGAATGTCACCTTAAACTTAATGAAATGTATTTCACTTGCTGATCTTGTTTCTTGTTATCGGAAATTTAATGAACCTTAATAAACATCAGCAGCTGGTCATGAAGTCTGAACAAACCTACCTCATCTGCAGTTGTGTTTGAAATAATGCTTTCTAGTTTTTATACGTTTTAGGATCCAATTTGTTTAAAGAAATAGAAGCATGGCATCAAAATCTTCTACACTGTAATAACAAAAAAAAAGAAACAAAGAAAAGTTCAAAGGAGAGGACGGCGTTCTCGATCGGCGAATGTTTTTGCTGCAGCATCGGCTGCTCCCTCATTGCTGTTGGATCCTTCAGCACATGACCATTCTCAGCTACCAGTTAGCAGCCTTCCAGCATCTCCGCAACCAGCGGTGTTGACAACAGACCAGCTGAGACAACTGAAAGCGTAGCAGCATTGATAAAGGAATCACAGAGGGATGCAGTAGAACCAGCATCCTCCCAAATTTTGGACGACACATCAGGTGATACAATTATTTCTAGTGCATGTAGGGCAGCTGTACCCAGCTATGACAATGAGTTAGGACATAACGTCCCAAACAATGTAAAAATAAAGATTGCCAATGGGGAGTACATTAATTTAGGTATACTGCTTAATAATGCCCCAGAAACTGACCCCAGTGATGACACCAAATATTTTTCTCTAAAAGACGGGAAACTTGCAGTTACGACTAAGCCTAAAGCAAAATCCATTACGGACATACAAGTATGGACTGACGCCTTCCTTACCTTTTCTACGATTTATGCATCCGCTCATCCCCATGCAGCGGTATCTTTGCTCAAATACATGCACACAATACGGTTAGGTGCCAGTCGTATTATGGGGTTAGGCTGGCGGGACTATGACATGCAGTTCCGACTTAAAAAAGAGCGTAATCCTGAATTATCATTTGCAGTAGTTGACCAAGAGTTGTGGTTGCTATATATGTGCAACAAACCTATGACAGTGCAGACTGTGCAGGGATCAGAACCCAATCCCCCTGCACTCAAGTGTTATGGTTTTAATTATAAAGGCGCATGTCCAAGACAACAATGTCAATACAGTCACACGTGTATCCTTTGCTCACAGCCACACCCACACACTAAGCACAAGAATATAATTCACTCTCCATCAAATCTTATGTCGGCAAACACACAGTCAGCATGGTGCCCTTTGCCCTCAGAAAATCACGCAGCCCCAAATACCAAATACCTATTATAGACCCGCATCAACCCAGTCTTTTAGACATCAATAGTACAGCACCCACCCCCCCCCCCCCCCTAAAATTGCGAGCCTTGCAAAATGCTCAACAAATGAAATTATCATCTTGACACATTTGCACCTGAACTACTCGGAAAGTTTTTCATTTTGGGTTTTAAGCTCCGTTACAAGGGCCCTAGACAAGCATATGAATGTGGGAATCCTGATTTTTTTAAGGGCTTTTACTGACGAGGCCATTCAGCTAGTTAATAAAGAAATAACCCTGGGAAGAGTGGCTGCCCCTTTTTGACAACCCCCCCCCCCCTTGCTTAACCTAAAATTTGTCCAAAGATCAGGATTTTGCTCAAGATTGACGACCCTCCTCACTTAGTTATTCATTATTCACTAAACAAAGGTTTCACCAGCACAGGGAGAGTTTTGGCCATGGCTGCGCTATGACTAGTTATGGGGTCATAGTGCTAGTCATTTACTTACATGTAATATGGCGACATTTTTGTGCACTTGTATTTGCTTGTGACTAGTCCTTTAGTTGGCGGTGTATTTTCGCTTATTTGGGCAGTGATTTTGCCCCATTGCTTTGTTGACCACAGTTTCGCTTATTTCAATGCTTTGTCCCAAAGATATTTGCATATTAATGGTATTTTAGGACCAGTAATGGTCTTAGACATTTTGCAGTTCAAAGTAAGTTTTTCTGGGGGAGGGGGTGGTTTACTTAAGTTCTTGCATGCTTGTCCTACTGGTGGCACAGACCATGTGTGACATGGTCTCGTGGCGGCTATGAGGCTCACCAGTAGGCTTTAGGAACTTATTGTCATTTAACTGAATATTTTAAGTGCATTTTGGACTAGTCACGAAAGGTGAACATCTGTTCCCAGGGTTCCCTTTGCATTTTTAGGGATGCCATTTACAAGGCAGTATATTGATGCCTCGGCTCCCTCATTTAAGCGGCCGTGGCCCATTCAGCCAAATAAAATAGTTTCTAAATTTTTCCTTGCTTCTTTGTCATTGAATACAACAAGGTAATGAGCGCATTGGGCAATCCCTGTTATTTTCAAGTGTTTTTTCATCTTTGATAATGAACATCAGCAGCTGGTCATGAAGTCTGAACAAACCTACCTCATCTGCAGTTGTGTTTGAAATAATGCTTTCTAGTTTTTATACGTTTTAGGATCCAATTTGTTTAAAGAAATAGAAGCATGGCATCAGAATCTTCTACACTGTAATAACAAAACAAAAAAAAAGAAACAAATGTAGATGTAAAATTAGAGTACTAGAGATATTGTGGATGTACACAAAGTGATACTCCGCTCCATATGAATGTACATGTAATGTGAAGACAACGACAAGTAATCAAGCTCAAATGTTAATCAAAGCAATACAAATAGAGACAGAAGCAAACGTTGGCCTCAATAACATCAGAGGTTAGTTCAGGTATCATGGAGGAGTAAGTAAAAATCTACTATAAATCTCTTTAAAACTGCAAAACGTATCCCTTAAAAACGCTTTGGTACTTTAAAGTGGCTAAACTGTCCCTTCAGAATTAACGTTTACAGGAATATTTACTTTCAAACCACTTTCAATTCACGACACAGTATTTTAATGAAAAAAATGTATACATGCATATTTGCACGTACCAATATGTAAAAGAACTAAACGGTCAAACATTTATTATAACTTATATTTCTGTTTAGGAAAAGAGAGATTAGTACGTTGTTTAGGAGCGTTTTGTTCAAATCTTTTCCACCTCCATTTTATAGTCATCTTCTTCTTTAAATGTGGCTTCGAATAAATTGTCACTAAAGTGATGCATTTTGCAGTACAACTCGCTTATAAAACAACTGTTTGTAAAGAAATTTTATTAGATTAAGAATTTTCATTCATCTAACAAATACAATGTGCACCTTATACAAAGGGAGAATATTGGTGAAAAGAATGCGAAATTAGATGTTAAGTGACTTTCGAATGGCTATTCCTTCATGTAAGAAGTCACGAAAATCATAGCCAACTTCATCATACCAGGACAGACCTTCTGGTAGAGTCAGCGGCATTTAGCGGCATTTCTCCAAGACACACCTTCTGGTAGAGTCAGCGGCATTTAGCGGCATTTCTCCAAAACAGACCTTCTGGTAGAGTCAGCGGCATTTCTCCAAGACACACCTTCTGGTAGAGTCAGCGGCATTTAGCGGCATTTGTCCAACACAGACCTTCTGGTAGAGTCAGCAGCATTTAGCGGCATTTCTCCAACACAGACCTTCTGGTAGAGTCAGCGGCATTTAGCGGCATTTCTCCAAAACACACCTTCTGGTAGAGTCAGCAGCATTTAGCGGCATTTCTCCAAGAGAGACCTTCAGGTAGAGTCAGCGGCATTTAGCGGCATTTGTCCAAGACAGACCTTCTGGTAGAGTCAGCGGCATTTAGCGGCATTTCTCCAAAACAGACCTTCTGGTAGAGTCAGCGGCATTTAGCGGCATTTCTCCAAGACACACCTTCTGGTAGAGTCAGCGGCATTTAGCGGCATTTGTCCAACACAGACCGTCTGGTAGAGTCAGCAGCATTTAGCGGCATTTCTCCAAAACAGACCTTCTGGTAGAGTCAGCGGCATTTAGCGGCATTTCTTCAAGAGAGACCTTCAGGTAGAGTCAGCGGCATTTGTCCAAGACAGACCTTCTGGTAGAGTCAGCGGCATTTAGCGGCATTTCTCCAAAACAGACCTTCTGGTAGACTCAGCGGCATTTAGCGGCATTTCTCCAAGACACACCTTCTGGTAGAGTCAGCGGCATTTAGCGGCATTTCTCCAAGACACACCTTCTGGTAGAGTCAGCGGCATTTAGCGGCATTTGTCCAAAACAGACCTTCTGGTAGAGTCAGCGGCATTTAGCGGCATTTGTCCAAAACAGACCTTCTGGTAGAGTCAGCGGCATTTAGCGGCATTTCTCCAAGACACACCTTCTGGTAGAGTCAGCGGCATTTAGCGGCATTTCTCCAAGACACACCTTCTGGTAGAGTCAGCGGCATTTGTCCAAGACAGACCTTCTGGTAGAGTCAGCGGCATTTAGCGGCATTTGTCCAACACAGACCTTCTGGTAGAGTCAGCGGCATTTAGCGGCATTTCTCCAAAACAGACCTTCTGGTAGAGTCAGCGGCATTTAGCGGCATTTCTCCAAGACACACCTTCTGGTAGAGTCAGCGGCATTTGTCCAAGACAGACCTTCTGGTAGAGTCAGCGGCATTTAGCGGCATTTGTCCAAAACAGACCTTCTGGTAGAGTCAGCGGCATTTAGCGGTATTTGTCCAAGACAGACCTTCTGGTAGAGTCAGCGGCAATTAGCGGCATTTGTCCAACACAGACTCTCTGGTAGAGTCAGCGGCATTTAGCGGCATTTGTCCAACACAGACCCTCTGGTAGAGTCAGCGGCATTTAGTGGCATTTGTCCAAGACAGACCCTCTGGTATAGTCAGCAGCATTTGTCCAAGACAGACCCTCTGCTAGAGTCAGCAGCATTTAGCGGCATTTGTCCAACACTGACCCTCTGGTAGAGTCAGCAGCATTCTCTATGAGAATGATCGTAGGTCATGCTTACCTGCTTGGGGAAGTAAAATTAAAAGATAGTTTACACCAATATTGTTAAAAGTCATTCTTATGAGTTTTGATTGAAAATTGAATTAATATACTTAGCTAGTAAGTTGTGTGAAGCGGTATGAAGCATTTCATGTGAAATAAATTGTATATTATCACTACCGGAAATGTTTGCTGGCTGTATAAATGAAAAAACAAATACCATACTGTTTCAATTTCCCGAAATTGATATGAACTTGATTTGCGGGTTATAACTCTGGAAATGTCATGAATGATTAAATGTTAGAATTTACATACTAAATCGATCCACTGACTAATAAGCTGCATTTAAATCTTTTACGGAATAAGCCGCATGGTTATAAAATGTTAACCCATCCCATTTTTATATCTTTTATGGAATAAGCTGCATTTAATAAAAAAAATTTACGAAATAAACTGCATGATAATAAAATGTTAACATATCCCAGTTTCATATCTTTCACGGAATAAGCTGCATTTTATATCTTTTATGGAATAAACTGCATGATTTTAAAATGTTCACCTATTCCAGTTTTATATCTTTCACGGAATAAGCTGCATTTTAAATCTTTTACGGAATAAGCTGCATGATTATAAAATGTATCCCAATTTTATATCTTTTACGGAATAAGCTGCATGATTACAAATTGCTAACCTATCCTACTTTTATATCTTTTACGGAATAAGCTGCATCTTATATCTTTTTTACGGAATAAGCTGCATTTTGTATCTTTTACGGAGTAAGCTGCATGGTTATAAAATGTTAACCTATCCCATTTTTATATCTTTTATGGAATAAGCTGCATTTTAATAAAAGAATTTACGAAATAAACTGCATGATTATAAAATGTTAACATATCCCAGTTTCATATCTTTCACGGAATAAGCTGCATTTATATCTTTTATGGAATAAGCTGTATGATTTTAAAATGTTCACCTATTCCAGTTTTATATCTTTCACGGAATAAGCTGCATTTTAAATCTTTTATGGAATAAGCTGCATGATTATACAAGAGGCCCACATGCCTTATAGGTCACCTGAGCATTATGCAACAACTTTCCAGTTACAGTGTATTGAATTTGATTCATGTTTTAAGCCAGATGCTATATGGCATTCACAATTTTGAAAGGGCACCATTGATCATCATAACAATAAACTTAGCAGTTGCTTAGCTTGGTTACTGAATACCCATACACAGGGTAGGGGAAAAAAATGCACTCAAACTAATCAGTAATATTCATCAATAATCAGTAGTGCCCCTAACACTCTGACATAAACCTGTGACCCTAGGTTGCACAAATTTTTAAAAGGCACCCTTAAAATTGCCTATCAAAAAATAAATAAATGTTTTATAAATACAAAGGACCAGATTTCAAACAATTAATTCATTTTCAGTATATAAGT